GCGCACTCCGGCCCCTCTGGCTGCGCTTGCTGAGCGCCGCGGGCGCCGCGGCCCTGGTCGGCCTGGCCGTGTGGCTGCCGCTGTCGCACGCAGGCCTGGGCCCTGCGGCCCGCGGAGGGGCCGACAAGGAAAGGCTGCTGCGGGAAGAGCGGGTGCGTCTGCAGGCGAGGGCGGACGAGCTCGACGCGCAGCTGGCCGAGCTCAAGGGCAGGGCGGCCGGCGATTCTGCCGTGGGCGCGCCGCAGGTGCTGACAGACGAAGATCTGCGGCGCAGGGTGCAGCTCGCGCAGGCGCAGGCAGAGGATGTGGTAAGGCAGAGGGTGGCCATGGCAACCCAGTCAGTGATCCCGCTGGCTGTGCGCGCCGCGAAGGTCAGCAGGTCACGGCTCGAGCTAAATGGTGCTTTGGCGATTTCGTGGGCTGTCTTCGTTTTGATTTCGTTTCGCAGCAGAGGCAGAGCGAAGCCGGAACGAAAAACAACGAAGACAGAACGAAGACGACAAATATTGCTGTGCTCGAGCCCTGCAACAGGTGCCTCGAGGACGGGGTGCAGAGCGCGAAGGCCAGGGCCAGAGAGCTCGTCGCCGAAAAGGCCTCCGCCCTGGCCGGGGCCGTCTCCGACGCCGCGGGGGGCGGTGCGAGCCCTGTCCTGGGCTGGGTGCGTGGTGCCTCCGAGCCGGCTGCGGCGGACGGGCCGGCGCTGCCAGCAGAGCTGGTCGTCGCAGGCCTCGTGGCGCCGCTGCAGCTGCAGGTGCTCGCGATGTGGAACCGCTCCGCCGCCATGGTCACCGCAGCGCTACTGATGGTCTTCGTCTGGGCGCTGGCCTTCGATCTGGAACGCAAGTGCGGATTCGGCGAAGTCTGGCCGTGGATGCTCGGAATGACCGTCGTCATGGCCTGCAGTGTCGTCGCCAGGTTGTCCGTTTCCTGTTCGGCAGCCGCGCTGTTGCGGGAGTTAGAGGTGGAGAGGGCAGCTGAGCAGCGCGTTGCGAGGAGCCGCATCGAGGAACTGCAGCGAAGTCTGCAGGAGTCGTCGGGCAGCTTCTTCAAGGCAATAGTTGGCTGCGATGCAATTACGAACTCGTGGCCTGCCAGTTCCCTGAACCTCCTCAACGTGGCTCATGTCGTCTGGGGGGCTGTCGGCGTCGCCTGGACTGTCCAGTATGTTGTGCCCGACAGCGTGGAGTGCGAGGCCTGGGAGAGCAGGCTCGTGATGCACGTGTACAGCTTCTTCTACGTCATGCTGCTGTCGCTCACCCTCCCGGCACTCTCTGCCTCCTCCTCCCCCTCCTCCTATTCCTCCTCCTCCTCCTATTTCTCCTCCTCGTCCTCCAGTTCCTCCTCCTCCTCCTCCTCCTCCTCCTCCTCCTCCTCCTCCTCCGCCTCCGCCTCCGGCACTCCTGCTCTGCATCGCGGGCCACGTGCTGGCGTACCCCTGCGCCGCGGACCGCCTCGTCGCCGTGGCGCGGCGGGCCGACGAGGCGCACCTGCACGGCGTGCCGCTCCTGGCGTGGCTCGCCCGGGGCCTCGTGCTCCGGCGCACGGTCGACGCGGTGATTTTGGACGCCCGAAATCCTCTTCCTCCTTGTCTTCCTCCTCCTCCTCCTCCTCCTTCTCCTCCTCCTCCTCCTCCTCCTTCTCCTCCTCCTCCTCCTCCTCCTCCTGGGGAACAAACAATGACATAAACATTCTGGACGCCCAGAATGGGTACGGAAAGAATGGGTACAATGCCCAGCAGCAGTTTCTGTTCATTCTGAACAGGACTCGCCGTCGGTGACGCCGCGGCCTGTGTCCACTTGAGACAGGAAGGCCGCCTGCCCAACGGCGGCCGCTGATGGTTTGGGACAACATTTGTTATAGAGCACTGTACCCGTTCTTTCCGTACCCGTTTCGGGCGTCCAAAGGTGACCGGCGAGCGGCGCGACCGCCAAGCGGCCGTGGACGGGCCGATCTGGGAGCAAGTCATGGGAGCCCCGTGCACCCTCGTGAGACTCCGTTTTGAGGATGGGTCAGCGTCGAGTGGCGTTTGGTAATCGATGGGGTCGGAGGATCGCGCAGCATCGCCGATGCATCGCCGATGCGGCTCGATGCGGAGCCCGATTTTCTTCACGCCGACGTCGCCGATGCATCGCCGACGTCGACGATGCATCGCCGGTGCATCGCCGATGCAGCGCCGATGCATTGCCGATGTATCGGCGATGCGGCGCGATCCTCTGACCCCATCTTCTCCGACCCCATCTAGGAGGCCTCTCATTAGCGCCGACTCAGCGTCGATTTGCGTCGATCTAGCGTCGAATCAGCGCCGACGAGGTTCTATTAGCATCGATTCCGAACCGATGCTCGTGGCGCCTCATCGACGCTGAATCGGATTCGCGAATCGGGTCGCGGGAGGCTCTCATGCGTTGCCGCAGAAGGCTGAGCCGCCGGAGGGAGGAGCTCGAGCGGAGCTCGGCATCGTTCAACCGCTCCCCATCCCCATCCCCATCCCACGTCTCGAGCCCCACCGGTCTCACCACCTCGGATGGGGATGATGCCACTCGAGACCCGAAGAGAGCAGCCTACATCCCCGTCCAGGGGGGTACATCGGCCAGTGGGGCCCGAGGAGGGAGGAGGGAGGAGGGAGGAGGGAGTTGGGGAGGGGCATCGGTGAAAAACGATGCTCAGGAGCGCGGCGGCGCTCGCGGAGGAGCTGCGGGGCAGGCGCGAGCGGGTCCGGCAGCTGGAGCGGGGCGAGGGCGGCGCGCTCCCCGCGGCGCCGGCAGCGGCGGCCGAGGCCGGGGGGGGGGGAGGAGGAGGAGGAGGAGGAGGAGGAGGAGGAGGAGGAGGAGGAGGAGGAGGAGGAGGAGGAGGAGGAGGAGGAGGAGGAGGGAGGAGGGAGGAGGGAGGAGGGAGGAGGAGGAGGAGGAGGAGGAGGAGGAGACTCCGTAGCCATTTTGGCTCAAGTTCGAAACCTTGCCGCGAGGCTTCGAGCTTGTCCGCAGCCGTGCGGCAGGCTCGGGTGGTTTTGGCGTGTGACGTCCTGGTGTGCTGCCCTGCCACCAGGCCTGCTCTTCTGAGCCTTCATTGTTGTGTCTGTCCCTCGGTAGCCGATGGCCAAGGGAGGCAATGGGTGGCTACGGAATGCATGGGCATGTGCGGCCAAGCGCTGTTCGTGCAAGGACAACTTCGAGTGGCGCACCGAGTGCTACATTTGCGGGGCGCCCAAGCCCAAGGCGCCCCAGCATGCCCTCCCTCGTGCTCCTGGTGGTGCATGGGCTGACCCAGCTCGTGGCCCACATCGTGGGGGCGCAGGCCCTGGGCCAAAGCCGCGGGTGCTCACCGAGGACGAGCAGCGCGTGTGGCTCGGGCTCAGTGATGAGGAGTTCCGTTCCCTCAGTGGGGTGCTGTCCCAGTCACAGCGTGACAAGTTGCTGCACCGCCGTGCCATGGCGGAATCTGGGCTGGCGCAGCCGGCCTTGGACGCCTGGCAAGCCTCGCAGGACGTCAGCTCGCTTTCCAACCAGCTGCTGGCAGCCCGCGGTCGCCTCCAGAAGCTGGAGCAGTCGGCCACCGACATCATGGTGCAGGTCGCCGACCAGCGGGAGGCGGTGCGAGGCCTGGAGGAGGAGTACGCCGCAGCCAGGGCGCGTGCCTCCGTGGCTTTGGCGCCAGGGGCGCAGCTCGGCCCAGAGGTGCGGGCAGCCCAGTCCGCCTTCGGCCAGGCGCGCGCCGCGGTGGGGGGGGATGTTCCCCCAGCGGTCGCGGCGCTGGTGGAGGCTTGCGAGCGGCTCCTTGGGGCAGTCGTGGGGGCTGCGGCCGGAGCGGGCGCGGCGCCTGGGATGGCCACGGGACCTGCTGAACGTGCTGATGCAGAGCCTGTGCGTGGGGCCTCGCCAGCAGCCGCACGACAGCCTCATTCCCCAGGAGGAGGGCAGGAGGTGGCTGCGGCACTGTGTCGGCGGACCCAGGAGCTCGCGGCGGTATCAGGACATCCTGGAGGACAAGCCTGGGACGCGGCAGGTGCCGACGACTCCGACTCGGACGAGCCCATGGCCCCCCCCCCGCGGGCTGCAGCTGGGGGGCAGCTCCTCGCGGCGGCGGACCAGCGCGTGCAGGACGAAGCCACAAGGGCTCTCGCTCGAGCAGGTGACCAAGGGAGGCTGCCCGACGCGAGGGCACGCAGCCGTTCCCAGGGGCGTGACCCAGAGGTGCAGTCGGCGCCTGCGGGGGGCGCTGGCCGCGCCCACGCTGTGGGACGCCGCGACGCCCGAGGGGCCAGGCCGCGGGGGTAGCTACCTGCTGGAGCTGGACGGCGGCACGTCCTGCGAAGATGTGGGTCAGAAGTTGGGGGCACCCTTTGATTGCCCCGACAGCGACCGCGAGGAGGCGCCCGCGGACCCAGCGGGCGCCACATCCCGTCCAAACCCTTTGTCGGATCGACAAGAATTACGGCGAGAACGCGAAGCTGGAGATGCTCCTACGGCGGCTTCAGCTTCACCCAAGTGTTGGAAGTTCTGCACCTGCAACACCACCAGCTGGAGCAGCGTGCAGTGGTTCCTTGAGAACGAGTGCGACGCCGACGTGGTCATGCTGCAGGAGGTGGCCATCGCTCCTGAGCTGCAGCCTGATCGCGAAGCAGCAGTAGGTCGCCTAGGTTGGAAGGCCAAGGCTGCGCCCTCTCGGGACACGGGAGGAGGCCTCTCAGGGGGAGTGTTGGTGGGCACGTGGCCTCACATCGGCCTCTGCGAGGCTCCTGTCCCGAAGCGCCCTTGGCCCTCTGAGCGGGTTCTCCTCATGTGGGTCAACGGCTTGGTTCCTGGAGGCTTTATTGCTGGGTCGGTTTATTTGGTCTCTGGCGGGGGCCTCGATGACCAGAGTTTTCTGATCCTGAAGCAGCTGGGCGAGGCCTTGAAGGCCATGGGGCAGCCGTTCATTCTCGGGGGTGACTGGAACGTGGCGCCTGAAACGTTAGGGGCCTCAGGATGGCCGTCAGCGGTAGGAGGCTCCATCGTCACCACAGGGGCCTACACTTGTCGGAGCTCGGGGTCCTCCACCACCTGGAGCTGTCTGGATTATTTCGTCGTGTCTGCGGGGTTTCTGCATTCGGTAAAGAACTGTCGTCGGCAGGAGGATTGTAGTACGGCCCCGCATTGGGCCGTCAACATGGAGGTCTCAGGCAAGCCGTGCGCCTTGGAGTTGCCCTCCCTCAAGCTGCCCAAGCAGTTCCCGCTAGAGCTACCCTTCGGCCCTCGCCCGTTAGGTAAGTCATGGGATGCTGTGCACACCATCGTCGATGATGTGAATAGCGAATTCGACCTGCCGTCTGCCTACCTCTCGTTCTGTGACGCCGCAGAGGACGAGCTGTCTCTCCTGCACGGGCTGGAGACGAGTGAAGCTAGGCGGTGCAGTGGCCGAGGACGTGGAGCTTCGGTAGTTAGGCGGCCAGTTTTACCCAAGTCTGGAGGGTGTTACCCTAAGGCGTCCCCCGAGGCTAGAGCTTGGAGGCTGATTCAGAATCGTTTGCAAGAGTTGCAGTATCTGGTCAGGAAACGGCAGTGCGAGTCTCGGGACGCCTTGGGTCTTCGGCGTAAGCTTCTGGATTGGTCGGGGCGACTCAAGCAGGACCCAGTCTGGAACAGCTTCAGAACGGATCTTGGGACGCTGGATATACACCCCGATCTTAATTTGGAGTCATTCATCGTCAGGGCCCAGAGCGAGGCCCACAGGATCGAAAGCATCTTCGCGAAGTCCAGGGCCAAGAACTGGCGGGAGCACGTTGCTCGGTCTGTACAAGGAGGGGGGGGTCTGGCTCACAAAGTCACTAAGATCCCCCAGGCCTGGACTCCTGACGAGGGTGCTGGTGGGGCCCCTTGGGGAACCGATCAGCTCCTGGAGGGCCTCACCCAGGAGTGGCAGGGGATCTGGGGGTGGAAATCTAGTGCAAGTGAGCTGGACCGTCTCGCGGTTATTCAGCAGCACATACAGGCGCTCGACCTCGACCCGACCCCTCAGCCTATCGAGTTGCCGCTCCTGAGGAGGACACTCGGCAAGTTTAAGAAGTGGACGGCAGTGGGAGCAGACGGTTGGCACCCGCACGTCCTGAACCAGTTGTCCGACGATGGGCTTCTGGCGTTTTCCACCCTCTTGTGGCAGATGGAGAGGCTGGTCGCCTTCCCGTTTCAGTTGTGGAAGATTGTCATTGGGTTTTTACTGAAACCAGAAGGGGGGAGGCGTCCAATCGGCATCTTGACCACGTGCATGCGCGTTCTCTCGGCCTGCAGGAAG